CTGCGCCTTGCTGCAAATTCTTTACACGACAGAATCCCTTTGCAGCCCTGGGAATAAAGTTTTCTCTCGCTCGTCATCCCGAAAAGGAAATTCGATAGTGTACAACAGACAGCAAAGCAAAGCGATTCTTCCGATTTCTTACTTAAACGTATAAATATCCGTTCCTACGATAAATGTGCATCTTCCTTTTTAATTTTCACGTTTTGGAATGAGTATATATGGCGAGTGTAAAAGACCTGTCTTCTGTAATGCAAGAACGTGTTTTGAATACAACGAAACAAAGGGACATCGCATTACACGAAGCAGAGCAGGAAAATTACTCTCTGTGCATGCACATGGAAGTTCAGGGGTGAACAAACACACCATGTCACGTCTGTAATGATACCAACGTTAACCAAGAAATTTACAGTTTTAAAAAAGAACCTGTACATTAATTTCCGTGTTCACGCGAGTCAGCCACTGGCCCACATCTTCAACTTTGTTAAAAAACTATTTTAGTATTATCCTCCTATCTCTTCGAGTGATTTAAACTGTGAAGTGTAGGATTGTGTACAGTTAATACGCCTTTTGCGACCTCACTTGTTCACAATAGTGTGTAATGAGATTACTGTAAATCTTATATCGATAGCATTACTTTCCTAAATCTATCCGATAAGAAGTTGGAGTAACTGAGAAAGACAATAAATACGTGACCATGTGTTTCAAATATGCTATGGGTGTCTGGTACACTTATTTACAAGAAGATGGCTGTCTGAATTAATTAATTAATAAACACACCATATCACTTTAAATGTACAAGAACCCATGCAGGTTACGCCATCTTAAAACTCATCTTTCAACAGTCGAAGTGCAACTATATGTCACTACCTAAGAATGTATGCCTTCAATCATTATTTAAAAAAACGTAGAAGTCTTTGTCTTTGAATTGTGTCCGGAGCTCTCAACGTATCGATGTCTCGTACCATATTTACTATTCCTTATCAACTCTAGGGCTACAGAGTTGTCAGTTTTGCTCAAGTCGATCGCCTCTGAGTTGCAGTTTAACGTCTGAAAGTTAGGGATTTGTGTCCCGTTTGGTTGCTTCTCAAATTATTTACGGAATGGTATATATCATTTGTGCTCAGCCTGTGAATGAGGACAATTTAATAACAGTTCAATGCAGTTTATTACAAACTCTGGGCAAATTCGTTCAGACAGACTTCATTTACTTTCTCGAACAACTTCACTGACTTATTGTTTGATTAACTGTTTGCTTAAAAATAAAGAGATTGGTCTGCGCTTATTCTGTATCGAAGAAGTTCCTCGATTTTCCTGCAGGTTGAGGTACCTTCATTCGTTCAGACTCCGATCTTCAGACGAAGAGACAGAAGGAGAAACCAAACAAAGGAACAGCCAGTTCATCTAATTTGGGGCTGCAGTCTCACAGTTCCACCTTCATTTAATTCTATATTTGTGCCCTATCATCCATATCGCAGTATCACAGATCACTGGAAACGCAACAAAGTCCTGAGGAAAATATCGGCGCTAGAAAGAACGCTAACAGATGAATACACATTATTACATGCTCATAATTCGAATAATTAAGTCAAGTGTGGTAAAACTAGTGGTCTTTAAATCTGAAGGGATGCGCTCTCTCGGGACAGCAAATGGCATATGGGGTCATATCGTTAAAACGGAACTTCGAGAAAGGACGTGTGACGTCATTGACTATACTGAAATTGCTCACAAAGCAGTCCCGTATTTTTGTACACACAGTAATCAACATCTGAATTCTACGAAAGCACAGAATTGTATGATCAGCTGAGCAACTATAAGCTTCTCAAGGAATGCCCTGAACCACAGCACCAAATCCTTTGAAGGGACGCACTGGTACGGTAAGGCTGTTTAGCGAGTTCATTTCTCTCAAAACACCTTACATTTTCTGTATCAGTGAATGGAGTTCAATCGAATCGAGTGGCGAATGAGATACAAATCGCCACAGAGTATTAGTGATTCATGGTGGGCAAACGTTTGTTAACAGACAATAGAGCCTGTCGGGACGAACGTCAGACTAGAGACTGTGACACTTTTGTCCCGTGATTAATTGTTCCAATTCAGGGCAGAATCCTAACCACGAGACAGACGTCGTCTGCTCGACGTCGATTAATCTGAATACGCTCAAAGGATCCACTTTGTTAGTGATCTACGAAATGAAATATATTCTAAATTCTGTACACAGTAAATCACATTGCAGTTTCGTGTTCATGTTCATGGATTCATCACTACTTTATTCGTCTTGGTTTTTATATAAAATTTGTAAAGATGCGTTTATCGAAGCCGGCATCGGTTTTTGTAAGTGCATAATATCAGCATCTACCGAAATGGCTGTTTCTTGTCGAGAACCCATGGTTTTATTTCTGACGTGATATTTGAGGAAACGTTTTTTTAAAGATAAGAGTTTTGTTCACCCTTCTTATTTATACAGTGATATTAAATGAAATTCTAACTATCTAACCAACTAACTAACTCCTGCGTCGCTTCTTCGGAACCGATATTGCGAAAACGAGCTTTATGTAAATTCGTGCTTCCGATAACTCATGTTTAAGAATTAGGTTTTGTACCGACACATTACATGAAGCAGGCGATCGCAGCTGAGCACATAGGTCGTTTCTTCATTTAGGCTGTCAGGATTAAATAGTATTCATTCATTTTTTTTTGAGAAAGTAAAGATAGACGAGACCCTCAATCATAGCTCGTCTCCTGTTGACTGCCATTTCTAACACCTCAGCGCGACACATTTCATTTGCATAGAGGTTAATCTGCGCCAAACGACTAGATTTTATGATGTGTTTTATTTGTTCGTCTAACGAGAACGCTCGTCCTCCAGCGATGCTGTCCTATGTAATGACCACGTCCTGAATTACGAAGCTAGCAAAGAATAGACAGTCTCGCTTTTCCTGCACCTCTGTTTATTTGTCTCGTCCTTGGCATAAAAAGGAAAAGGCGAGACAACCATGAATCACTTAGTTAGTACGAAGTGTTTCATGGTTGTCTCGCCAGAATCCTTTTGACAAGATTATAGTTGTTCTGATGGTCTGGAAATGTCCAATCATAAATGCATCATTATCCCGTTGACAAAATCCAGTCACGAGTCCCTATTCGTGACAATGAATATTGGAAAACACCAATAATTCATTTTCTGAGACTTTTTAATACGTCTGTAGGCATTTTCATGGAACCATGGAACCATGATCTTTGCTGAAAAACATGCGCCTTTTTCTGTGTTGTGCTGTCCTGTGTACAGGCAGAGGCCTTGCGACGGGCCGATCCCTCGTCCTAGGAGTCCTACCAAATGTCCATAGATCAAGCCAACAAAAAAGTAGTTCCTAGTACCCAGTAGTACTGTTAGTGTAATTAAGCAAGTCCTGGCATCCAGGTATTATAAGTTCATTAATTTGTGTAATAGTAAACTTACTTCCCAAGATTCTGGAGTTCACAGGTACGGACAACGCAGCCACAGTTCGCCGCAGACCATCTACGGCTACCGAACCATCCGATCAATAGCTAAATGCATAGTTCTACTCTGTGAATAACAACATCTTGTGCAGTATCGTTTGAAATAACTTTTGTAAAACACTTTATTTATTTCTAAATCCAGTTTTAACCATTTGGTTAAATGAATTGATTTCCCAGATGCCACTGATTGAGGTCGAAATGCTCATGGTAATAGTGTCTTTTTTATAGTGTTAACAGTAGTTTGTTACTTATTTGACATTACTTCCCAATTCACTTGAGTTCTGTTATTATTCTGTTAAATTAGACGTTGTGAATATTGTATTGCTGTGAGTGTTGAACATTTATGTGTTCCTCACAAAACACATTAGCAGGCCACAGACTGCGAATCTCTCGACTTTGATTTCATTCAAATTTCTTTAATCAAAATTAGAGTAAGAAGTGAAATATAACTGACATGAAACCAATATCTATATGTTCATGTCCCGTTGTTTCCATTGTGTTATTCACATAGTATAAGGTTTATTCTGTTATTCTATGGGAAACTTGTAATCATATATTTGGCAGTTACTTTGAGCCAGAGTTCATGAGAAGAATCCTGTTGTTTATGAACGTAGATCATTCGCACACATTATCTCAGCACAAGGAACATCAGCCATGAAGAAGGCAGCAGATCTGGGGCAATTAGGTGATGCAGAGTTGCTTCACATGGGTAATAATTCTAAACGTACTCTCTTTTACGTGTTTTGTTTATGTACAGCCAGCAGACATGCTACTGAGCAATAACATCGTATCACTTGTCTTGTATTACGACTTCTCACTCATTTGACATTGTCATTCCTCTGTGATTGATGAGAGTGTGATGTGTTGATGTGTGGAAAAGTCTGATCTAATAGTGAAATGATCCATTGTCAATTAAGATGCCACCAATTTAGTCTAAATAAAATACATTTACATGTCAGAGATTGGACATTGTTAAAACCTTTAATGAATTTACGATGAGAGAAGCAGAAGGGAAAATTAATTAAGTTACTGTAAAATTCTATAATTAATTACAGGAAATACAAACAAGTGTCCTAGCAATGGAGATATCCAGAAGGTCCCTTAGAAGGATTATAAAATGAGCAGAACATAAGGAAGAAATGAAAATCATTTGGACTCCTATAAATAAGTATAATGTGCCAAAGATACAGATAAATAACAAAAATCTAGATACAAAAAGTAAGTAAATCTGCACGTGTAATGGAAGTTGTCAATTCATGCAAATTAACTTTTATCACCTGCATGCCTCGCTGTTGGCCCATTACATCTGGACTTGCTTTACACTAGCAAACCTCTGAAGTTGTCATGTATTTAAAGGCATTTTATAGCAATTATGATAGTGCAGTTATATTGGTTTCCCTGTACAACATTCCTTTATGTATTTACCAGTATTCACCGAATAACGGTTTTTAAAGTGAAGCTGTCCAGCAGTGTATCATGGAGGCAGTTGGGCGTAACGGAGGCAAAGCAGTAGATGTGTATTTCTGTATTTTCCATAAAGGTTAATCATCTAAAACACCCTTGAAATACTTATGGGGTTGTATGGTCACACGTGGAGCAACATAACTTATCCCAAATATATAAACTAAATGTACACCCTAAGTCTTTTGATTTCGGAGATTTGATGAGCCATCTTTCATTTGTGCTAATTAGGTCACTGTTTGCCTAGAAGCAAAGTTATCACGGCTGAAATGTTAAAGACGAGATGTTATAACTTGCAAACCTACAACCACTAAAAGAAAGTAAGTACAGGAGACAACGCAGGAAATTGTAAAGTGTCTCCTCTGGACAGTGCATGGATAGCTCGAAAACAAATCAGAATTGGACGTAGGTCTGTTTTGTGAATCATCAGGTGCGGGCAGTGCTTTTATAGTGCCAAATAAGATATGGCAGCCTGATTTTTTCATTAAGCATTTTGTTTCCTATAGTCCTCTTCATAAACACAGTGTAAGATTGACATTATTATGAGATTTATTTTTTATTGTACTGTCATTTATTGTAATTTTGGTTCAAAGAAGTGGGCCAGCATTTCTTAAAAATAAATAAGGATCCTGCCCACTATTAACGTGACAAAATAGTTCTAACAGTTCTTTTTATTTTAACACTTTCTTTCACAATAGACTGTTTTGTACACCCTGTAAGAGGATAACGGAAGAAAAAGAAGAATAAGAATAAGAATAGAAATGAAAATTAAGAAAGTGATAATGAAAGTGGAGCTTTAGGTTCAGCTTCATCCATATAAATGAACTTGGTTCATGCATATAAATGGCATGTATTAAGTAAAGGTGACCAATGTGAACTTCAGACACTGATAATGGTTATAGAGTGTGTTGTTAGCACCTTGAAGTACATTGTTTTCTAGAAGCTAAGAGTATTCGCAACTAGTCATGGAATTAACCTTATGCTTTTAGATTAAGGAGCTTATATGATCCTTCCCAACCCCCAGTATATTTGTAGCTACTCTTCATGTCTTACCACATAAGAAGGACAATTGCATGGTGATAAGGGATTCAACTCATATTTGGAAAGTACCTTTTAAGTAGCAAGCTATCTTCTGCGTTGTAATGCCACATAATCTGGCAGAAGATTAGAGACGTCTGAGAGGTGATCACTGCCTCCATCATCATGGAGATTATAATGGATGCAGCACGCACCTCTGAAACATCAGTAAACGTTTACCAGACTACATGGCAAAGGCAACCAGAAGACACCAACCTCATACTCATAGCTGTGAGAACCTGAAATCATGCCTTAGTAAATCTGTGCCTGTAATGTGAATTGCAGTGTGTCAGGTCCGCTGATGGACTCAAACTTAGGCTCTGCTGAATATACACACTCCATTACGACAGAGACAGTTGCTTAATTTTCACGAGCCTAATCTCTTTTTGACGTGAAAACGTCTTTAAAATCGATTCCGGGTGTGAGGAGGCAATCGTGCCGAAATGGACGACAGTTTCTGTCGAAGTAAATTCAGACTTCAATAACTCGGCTACAAATAGACATAGCGCCGCAATCTTAGTCTCGTTTTAAAGAAAAAGGATGAACGTTTGTGCCAGTATCACTCCGACATTCGTGGCTGCCGGACGTCGCGAACTGCGCACGCGCAAAGTGAACCCACGATTTTCGACTTTCCGGATTCGACACGTGTCCATAAACAGGATCATATCTCAGAGACTAATTATTCGATCCGAGTGAACCAAGTGTTGTTTTGAAGAGGAGTGTGTATCTCAAAAACTCAAAAAGATACGAGGCTGTGAATGTGAAAAAGTTTGAAAATTTCCCGATTTCCTTGAAATGTCGCGATATATGAGGGCAAAGTACTACCAGAATTACAAAACTCGGGCACGAATGGGTAGAGCACAACACTTCAAAGAAAATGACACCCATAACGTCGCGCCCGGACCCAAAACCAACGCGCAGTACTGTCGCGAATATAGGCAACGTAAGCGCTCTCGGACAACTCAGGCGGCATCTGACGAGCCTGCGTCAAGTATTGATGAGGACTTCGTTGCTGATGAAATGGAGAGTGTAATGGAGTTCGACCCAGACCTATCGGACCCATTTGGTATACCCAATATGGCGACGGGGGCCCTAAATTGGACTTGTATCGGGGCCGACATATACTTTAAAAGAAACATTCTTAGACAACGACTTTGGACATAAATGTGACATTTGTTTAATTTCAATATACTACACACGATTGACGTTTTTTACAGCGAAGATATAATTTTATCAGCTTGTTTCCAGAGACACATAATTTATATACAAACACAACAGTAAAGGCGTTTCAGTGGAAATGAATGTGCTTGCTTACATGTGACTTTCATAATTGGTTTCACAGAATATTTCTTTCGAGTCACCTTCTCTGGAAGAAATCCACCAGGAGCGCCCAATCACAGTAAGTGACAACATGAAAGCTACATGAGTTTCTCAGTAGTTTGTATCTGATATATTCATAGCAAATTATAAAGTTTAGGAAGAGCTTTTTTGAAGTAAATACGTCTATATTTTAGGGTCAGTGTCATTCGGCAAAAATGTGCTACGAAAAAGTGTTACGTAAAAGGTAAACGAAAAAGTGTAACTTCATTGTTATGTTACTTAGGAAACCTCATCTGTTTACTCAGCATTGTTGTTACCTAGGAAACATCATCTGTTTACTTAGCATTGTTATTTCCTGTAAAACATTACATTACCTTACCTTACATTACATTACTTTACATTACATTCAGCTAACACAGACCCATTTTAAGAGTAAATAATTGAAATTAATTATCCATGTTGGTTGGTAAATATATGTTCCCAGATAATCGAAATCCTGGATAATCTCCAAAATTAAATGGAAACACTAAATTCTAACAAATATTTAAGTTTATTTACAGACATAAAATGTCTATATAGTTAAAGATTTACTATCAAAACTTTAAAATATCATGCTGTGTATACCAACAATTTTTAAAGGATCCCAATGGATAGCAATAACTTTCTTTTGTCGTAAACTAAACGTTTTGGCTACAACTGAATTATACCTCAAATAATGTAAGTGTTACGCTTTCTTTGGGCGAAGTCCATAGGGAGACCGAATTATGTTCTGGCCATGTCTGTGCAGTTGATGCAACTCAGGAACAACTGGAGGAATTTGAACGATACTTGATGTGGATGTGGTGATAAAATGGCGGATGAGAAATTCGTGGGGTGGGCTCAGGAGCGGCAGCAGTGGGAATTTGTTTGTTGCAGTGGCGACCACTGTTTACTGTTTATAGTGGTTACTACGGAAACAATGGTAAATAAAGACGTAAGCGGCGATCGTCCAAGATGTTCGTGTTTGTTAATACTGCATTTCATTTGGAAGTGCTTAGGTTAGAACAGGTCAGGACACGTTAGATTTGGCTGTGTTATGTTAAGTGAGATTAGCTGAGTTAACACGTGTTAAGTTAGGTTCCTTTAGATTCTGTTAGATAAATTTAAGTTAGGATAGATGTTTAAATACTAATTTTAAATATTTGAAAGTCGAATGTGAAAATTATAAAACATTAAATTCTTGAGTTAGAAATTTCTAAATTATTTTTTAACATTTTAAATTTAAGGGGCTTACAACATTTAAAAATTTAGAAACTTTAAATTAATTTTAAGTTTATTTCATAGGGCAAGGCTAATGTAATACCTCTTAATGCACGTTGCAAAGAACGCATGAGGGTGTTATTTCCGAGCTTCTTGCATTTATTTACTGACATTGTTAAACGATATAAATTTTACAACGAAGTTTCTAAATTGACTTTTAATATTCGTTTAAAGCTATCCTCAACCCGGTACATCTGCTTTCCGATGATCGGAATTCTTCTGTAAATTTGTCAATATATGTATCTGTAACCCGTGTTAGATGCGATTTAAAAAATACTCAGGCATTTATTCTTTCTGTCAGTGGCCAGACGCTGGGAGAATACCGAGAGTCCTACACAACTGCAGTCCAAGACCATTCGGAATGGCAGCCGAGATGAACTATTAGCAGCCTTATTTCCAACAGCGCTCGCGAGGACATCGTTGATGAAGCGTTTTAGGTTTTAAGTTTATAATTTTAACTTTTACAACTGAATATGATTTATATAGAAACCCAAACATGTTGTAGAAAGATGTTCCAAATGTAAATCGATTGTTCCATGAGGAACATCAAATGATATTTTAATTATTTTAATTGTAAATTTTAAATTTGAATTGTGATTAGACGGACCAAAACCGAATAATTAATTAAGACATATTTACGTCAAGTTCTCCGGAACCGTAGTTCCACTGACAACTTTATGTAAACTAAAATTTATGTGGGAATTATTCTATGTGCGTATTTCTCTGCGTGAGCATTTGTCCATGTGAACAGTTCTCTCTGTGTGTATTTTTCATGTGAGCATTAATGACAGTGGGTGTTTTTGTGCGGAATTTTCGTGTGGGCTTACTTCATTTGAGCACGTATCTGGTCACCGTTAAATACACCAAGGCCTTATAATACATTACAAAATTTAATTAAAGGAATTGTCAAAAAACCAATTTCTTATTATAGCATGGTATTAAATTTGAATTATTGCAGCAGTACAATAAAATCAAGAAGTATGAAGTGTAATCAAAAATTTTGTTCAAGTGTATTGTGCATATGTGTAAATATAACTTATGAGAAAAAGGAATTAGCGTTCTTAAATCAAATCTAAATCACTACAATAAACGCAGTTCTAACATCAATTAAAGTGCTTATAATATTGGCAACTTCTGCTCTATTTTTGGAAAAGAAATTCATGCTGTTATAAACGTAATGACTTTGCACGTAGAGTGGAACGCCCATTTTAAAATCAAGTATGAACAACACAATAAAGTGTTATTTACCCACTGACATATTTATGATAACCCGTTTTAAAACAGTTTAGATTCGAATGGCAGAGGCGGTTCGGAATTTTGGACAAAAAATAACTTTTTATTAGAATTTTATAAGTTCTTATGGTGGCGACTATGAAGTTATTTTCCGTTCTTGCGCCGTGTTGTCTGTTATAAAGTCAGTGACGGTTCGGAGATGCTAATTTATCTCAATCTTTCCTAACCTAACCTAAACCGCATCACTAATGTCTCCTATCCCAGCAATACCTAAAACAATAAAAAAAACTGAAAATTGATAATTTATTGCTGTGCAAGCGTAGAAGTTCTACTGCACATACGCGTCACTAACCTCACCTTACCTGACCCAACCTAACTTAATCCTACATAATCAAATTCCACTCAATCTGCTCCATAGCAGTTGATCATTGAGCATGGAGGCAGGAAGTACCTGTAAAACGTCGGTGAACTTCAACCAGGCCTCAAGACCTCATTATTGTCACTGGTTTTGTTGTTATCCTAAGTGAATTATTATGGCTAATGGGCCCACTGCACGAGCCCAAATGATACGTGAGTGAATGAGTGGATATGGAGCAAAAGTGGAATGATACTGACAACGGAAAGGCTGTCCCAATCACAACCATATTTAAATGTACAATTAAATTTAAGCACAGTTTAGACAGACAACACCTCGCAGAAAAAGGAACAGGGCGCAAGGATTTAATTAAACTACACTCGTAATTGAAATATTTCTAGATAGAAGAAACAATTAACAGAAGCGTAGTGTAATACCTCTTCTGTTAATAGCTGTCAACAACAGAGGTTGATTATGCGTTATGGAATCTGTTATTCATTAAATCTGCAAATAATAAGTTTGCATCAAGAATATATTGACGTGTGTCAACAACAAGGGCTGTGGCCTGAGAAAACAAATTTAAGCCCCATATGTTCCATAGTAGAGCTCACTATTTGTCATACTGTACGTTTTGTGCAGCATTAACATATTAAGACACGAAGTAGGACCATGTTCTGTGCAGAAGTTGGTAGTACGTTGCACCTCTTGCTACAGACCAGCCGTACCGATGTTTTAAATGTAGAGGTTAGAGCGTGATCCTTCTGACGGACGTGTGTGTGGACTCTCGTTGCCTCCTTCAAGCACAAGACTATAAAATATATAACTTTATTACAGGTTTTACAACCTTGCACAGCAAAATTTGAAGATACGTAATTTTGAACGAACGTAATAGTATGAACAACTTTAGTAAGTATGATAGATAAATTTACTTGCAGAACTACGAGTTTCGGCCTTAATTTATGTACATTACGTAGTTAGTCTATGCTTTAAATTAATGTGAATATATACGATGCAATGTTATTTACAGACAGACTTGAGTTTCTAAGTTTGTTTGAAGACGTCTTATCAACACTATTCTTTTGAGGTATTCAAACATGATGTACCTCGAACATCGTTATCCTTTCAAAATTACGTACAAACGTTAAAATACATACATTTTTTAGTGGCACAAGGCTCAGAACGTAAAAATCAAATCATTAGTCCAACAGTACAGTACAGGTCTTAGTCTTATTCGCCACTGTTTTCTCCATTTTGCCAGTTCTGTTGTTTAGATCTTTGATATCCTCCTGCATATACCTTCAAATTTATCAGATAATTCGTGCGTGGCGTTCCTAAAATCTTGCTTAACTTCCCGAATAGTGGGTGTCAGTTGTTCTGCTAACTTAACATTTTCTTGTTTGTTTGCCTGTAGCTACTGTAATATTGTTAGCAATGGGTCCTGCGACGTTTTCCTTACATTACTTGATGTACTCGGAGCTAAGACTTCTAGACCTGTCTCATTTAACTTGGGCTGATACCGTCTAGCTGCTCACAGAAGCTTCCTTCCTCCCCTTCTATATCTATTGCTTCGTTCTTTCTGGTCTGGGATATCTGGTCGCTACTATATGAGGGTAGCCCGGCCCCTCGACCTTCAGAAACCTGGCTCAGATCGAATCAGTTTGGCGGTTTAATGGGTCATGGTCTTGTTTAACTACCGTCTTACCTCATACTGATCTTTTTGTTGCTGTCTGCAGGGTACAGGGCAGCCAGTTTGTTTCTCCATTCATTGGAGAAGAGCATGAATGCGTTTGGCAGTCTAGGGATTCTCTGATTCCGCACAACAAGATAACACTTTGGTGTTTGTTTGCCATGTTTTCCTCTCCTGTTCTGTTGACAATGTTTGTTTGGCTGCACTGGTATGCTGTTGGTGGTAAGCCTGGTGAATGTTGACATCTTGCTGTTGCCGACTATTGCCAATAATGTGGTCTATATTTCCTGGAAGAATATTGGAATCCATACATAACACTGTCTTTAAACTATAAGAATCACTACAGATTTGCGACGATTTATAACCGTCGCCACTTCTTAGCAGCGTGTACGATGAAGAAATCTCGTTGGATAGGACGAGCCATGAGACTCTTATCACGGGATTATTGGTTTTAATTAAGGTCGCCTCAGCTGTGTCATTTTAGGTGTTTATTTGCAGGTGATTA